CCAAGCACCACTGGGAGTGAGCACACAGCAAACAGAAAGAACAGGGAAGAAAGTTGGGGTGGGTGTGGGGTGGGGGCAAGGAGTTCCTTTATTGAATCCCTTTCTGGGATGCTCTTCCGGATGCCTCATTTTATCTGCAACCTAAACACAGTAAAGAGAACACGGAGTGCATAGTCTTTCTCTTCAGGCTTCTGGGAAGACAGGAGAGTAAGACCAGCCCAAGTGTCCTGGTCTTAGCATTTGTTGTCCCTAATTCCCTAGAGGTGGCTTCAAATCCCCACTGTCAGATACCCACTTCCACAATCTTGTGGGAAACCGAGTGAGGACTCAGGTCTTCCGACTCACTGCTGAACCGATTTACTGTGGGTGGGAGGATGTGTGGAAGAGAATGAGCGGTCTGATGGGAAACACAGTCCTGCAAAGTTAAATCACATTGGGGGGAGGGAGGGAGGGAGGGAGAGGGAGGGAGGGAGAGGGAGAGGGAGAGGGGGAGAGAGAGAGAGAGAGAGAGAGAGAGAGAGAGAGAGAGAGAGAGAGAGAGAGAGAAACACCAGCTTTTATTCAAGACATATTTCAGTGAAACTTTAGCTGCTTTCTAATTCCATCTTTGGGATGTCTTAAGAAGACCCTAACTTACAAGGGGCATTACCTGGGGCAAAGAGGTCCTGTCCGTCGAGGGGCTTCTCTGAAGGCATCCTGATCTGCGGTGGGCTGCCCACCGTGGGCTACCTTTCTGGCTAGCTCACCAAGCTGTGAATATGGCGGGCCAGTTCCCCCTGCCTCTTGGTGGCCGAGAAATACGTGACACGGTCAGAGAAGCGCTTTATTGGCAACATGCTGGCAGGATGGAAGGGGTGGATTCCCACCCTCAGCACACCCTTATTGGTAGGAATCACCCAACCCACTCATCCCAGACCCACTTCCAGGAAATGACAGGCTGGGAAGCCAGACCCCACACTGACAGGTTATAGTTCGGTTTGCCTGGGCAGACGCTTCCTTCAGACCTTCCAAGACCAGCTCTGGACCTTCAGAAGGAGGAAAAATATCTTGGAGCTCTCACGAATCCAGCTCTCCATGGCTATCTCTATTGCTATTAAAGACAAACCCTTTCCCTACAATTCCCGTATACCACAAGTGGAAATGCAGGTACAGGTACAGTGCGGGTTCAGATAACATGCTCCATGCCACGTCACTGCCCCTGAAGCACACCTGCCACCTGTGATCAAACACTGCATTTTCAGACCACCAGTTTGGGTTTTTTTTTTTTTTATTTTTATTAGTGAAACACCATGAGATACAGTTGTAGACTTACAAATTTTTGTGCTTGGCTTTCAGTTATACGATGATCAAGTACCCATCCCTCCACCAGTGCCCATCCTCCAACACCCCGGGTCCCAGTATCCCTCCCACCCCCCCAGACCCCCCTGCCTCTGTGGCAGGGCATTCCCCTCTGTTCTCTCTCTCCTTTTGGGTTTGCAAAAGAGGCCATGGGTGGCAATCATGTTTGGTCTATAGTTCACTTTCAGCATGCTTCTCCCAACCTGGGAGGATTCTCCCAACACCCTTTATTTGGTGCTCCCTTCTCTATCTGAGTTGCCTTTTCCCCTAGCATGTATGGCTGGCCTCCAAGCCATGGAGCAAAATTCCTGGTACTAATCTCAGCCACTCTTGGGTGTTTGTCTCCCATTTTGTTACTTTATGTTCCCCAGATCAACGCAATCTTTCTATTAGACCATCAGTTTTCCCTTTGGAGAAAGCAGCTGGTCCAGTCAGGGCCTGCAGACACCGGGGGCCCAGCAGGTGCTTCTGTGCAGTTTCCGTTAAACAGGGATGACGGGTCCAGAATCCCAGGATCCAGGCCCAGTGCCACCACCCCTGCAGGCTTGTCAGGCTGCGCTCTCCTCCACAGGACCCAGGGACAGTCTTAAGAGCAGAACGTGGAACGCCTGCACTTCCCAACAGTCTGCTCATCCTAACGTGAGCCTGCTTCTCCCCACATCCGCCCCCGCTACCTCCTGTGATCTCAAGAAAATGTTTCCTGGACTGAAACAGCTAGATGTTGTTTTCTCTGCCATGCGATGCCCAGAGGTCTCAGGAGCCCCCACTGCCTCCAGCAAGGCACTCCTGAGGTGGCTCTAGTGTAAGCCCCTAAATCTCAGAGTCAAGCTGAGGGTTTCAGCCACCCTTCTGCACTTTTCTCCACTGGCTACTCTCATGCTAACCTAAAAATTCATCTGAAAAGACAACGCTCCACATGAAGCTCACAGTGGTTGGGGCTCAGGGGTTACCCATGCCTCAGACGCCAGCAGGATGCCAATAGGACCCAAAAGGAGAGCGTGTGCAACCCCCTAGTCTTCAGGGTCTCATACCGATAGCTCTAGGGCAAGGGTTCCATCCCTTTACTACCTGCACGACAGAGGCTGCCAACCATAGTTTTATGATCTACGTCATCTATGCAGAAAAATGGTTCTTAATTGAAAACATTTTAAAGTTATTTAAAATGCTGCATTTTTTTCCTTCTGTGACCCATCCAAGTATCCTTTGCATGTAACAATTGCCACTGTTTGATAGCATCCAGTAAATACTGACACACATTAGCTAATATTTAATCAGGTGGGTTGACAAATAAAACAGCATGACTTAATATTAAAATGCTCTGTCTGCCAGGATTCCTAGACTCCTGTTAAGAGCAAATACAGAGCCAAGCACGACCCAGGAGGGAAGGTCAGTGAGGAGCAGGGTCAGTGACTGGTCACAGGTCTGTTTGACAAACATCTTTCTAAGCATGGCATAGATGTAACCCACCCCACTACGCCAGCCCATGTACAAAGCTGTCAGGCAAAGTAACACTTTGTGACAAGCCAATTTCTTGACAGCTCGTAGGGGAGAAAAACAGGAATAGATTGACAGAAAATCCAGGTCTTTAAAAATACGTACTACCGGAAACACACACTTATAAATGATCCTCTAAATGACTGAAGGAAAATACAGAAAAATCTGTCCCTTCTTTTGGGCTAATGTCCCTTCTTTTATCTCATCTCGTGTTGTCCAACCTCAGTAGCTTGGAGACTTCTTTCTCTTTTTGAAAGAAATTATCAATCAGCACAAAATGACTTCAAACTAGTAGGGTGTCTGGCCGTAAGGGAGCATGAAATGCTCTTTCCCGAATCGTAACTAGCTTGGCTGATCAGCCATTGGGGCTTCTTTAGCTTAGCCCGAACACCTGGACAGTCGGCTTCTGCTGGCTAAGGTTTCCTGTGAGCACACGTCACACCAGAGCTGGTAAAGGCAAACAAAGGCACTCCTGGCCAGCGAGTCTGACTCAGTGAGTCTGCAGGGGTGAAGCCCCCTCTCCCCAGCGGCCCTGTCCCCCAGCCCTGCTCTGGGGTCAGAATCTTCTCCAAAAAAACTATTATTGCTAATGACAACATGGGGCAAGGTTGAAACCCATCTGTATGGACGGGCAAATACTTCTCTTGCTCTGTCTGGACTATCACGGTCACATGGTCATGGTCCTCCTGTTGTTCATCGATTTGCTCGAGTGGGCCCAGTAACATTGTGAGACTTGTTACTGTGTTTGGCATATAGAATACATCACGGGGAGCTTGCCAGGCTTTGCCGTGCGGGCAAGATACTCTCGGTAGCTTGCTGGGCTCTCCGAGGGGGCAGAGGAATCGAACTCGGGTCAGTCATGTTGGCTGCGTGTAAGGTAAACGCCTTACCCGCTGTGCTATCGCTCCAGCCCATCTGGACTATCTCAAGGATAATGTTTTTGATTACAGTACAGCCAGCGACTCAATCTTGTTAGGACAAGATCTACATGACCATTAGCAACAGATTACAAGTTCCAGTGAGGCTAAATAAATCACTGAGTACATTCTTAAGACTTTCCCCATGACTATAGATATTACCTGGTCAGTGAAAAGTAGCGTTTGAACACAGGCCAGATAAGATAAAGCCTTGAAAGGAGCCTGAAAACTAGGACCAGCATGCCCAATCATTTTACCCAGCACGACACCAACAGCATAGGTGAAACCAAGCATGCCACATGGCAGAATGGCCAAACCTGACCTTCGAGGAGCCTCTGCCACAGGACGCTCCTCAGTGAGCAACTGCCCGGCCCAGTCTCCATGCAGAGCTGGCTGGACGCCTGCCTACCTGGCAGGGTGCACTGCAGCGGCAAGGCCACGACTGCCTCTAGGAAGTTTTCGATTGAGATTTCAACTTCCAAACTACAAAACAAACAAAGCTTCCACGATGGAAACATTCAGCGACAACCTGTTTTCAGAGAACAGCTGTTTCACCAGGGCAGACGCATGCGGCCTTGGCCCAACTGGACCCACAGGGTGGTGGGAGAGCAGAGCACCTGGGCTGAGAGGGAGTATCTGCAGCTCCGAGAAGCAGGCGCGCCAGCCTGTGGTACCTCCCAGTTGCACCCAGAGGCTCCCTGATCAGACTGACAGGTGAAGCCTGTGACTCTGCAGAGAGCAGGAATGTGGCTGCCCGCTCCTCACTAAGTGCTCTGTTAGTACCAGCAGCAGGACTGCCTGTATCACGAGGCTTGAGGCGCTCAGGTGTGGTCCTAAGAGCCTGCCGGCCAGGCGGGGTGGGGGGGGTGGGGAGTGGGGGGGGGGGGTGGGGGGGGTGGGAGCTGGCTGTTGGAACGTGCTGTATGTTCCTGCACAAGGTCACGCGGTACAGGGAAGGAGGCAGAGTACGTGTGAGCCCAGGCCACGCCCTCAGCCTAGCTGGACTCTGGCCACGGCCTCCTCCTTCTAAATCGGGTCAGGGGCCGAGCCACTGGTCAGGAGATCTGAGAAGTATCAAAGTCACAGGAGGCTCAGCAACCTCATGAGGCCTGGGCCTTAGGTCTGGTTGGGTTGGTTCTTCACTGGCCTGTCTTCCAGAACCTCATGGAGACACAGGAGAGACATCACGGGAGAGAAATCCAACGTGCAATGATTCATCTAATTCAGAAAGAACAGGGTCCAAGAAAAATGTCCATTTTAACGGGTTTTTATTAATATTTGGTATTTTCTGTCAGAATATTAATTCCTGGATTAGTCTGAGATGGATATAGGTAGGTGTGTCTGTGCAAGTATGTATTATCCCTTAGGGAGACTTTATTTGGTTTAACTTCACATTTTTGGTATGTAGAAACAATTTTTTATTTTTGTTATTGCAGCACAGTAGACATTCGATCAATAATATTATCTCCTAGAGTGTGCAATATATAAATTATTCACATTAAAAAGTTAAGAACAGAAAGCCTCATATGCAAGAAATATTTAAAAATGTACGCCTAACTCTGGATCTGTGTTTCCGACATGATACACACTAATGTTACCAATCTGGATGAAGATGACAGGACACGACATAGACAGAACACACCGTGGGCCATTCCAGACGTGTAATGCACTAAAGGGGATGCAGCTCTTCCCTCTGGCCGCGGGGACTCCCCGTGCCAAGCATACAGCAGGTCTGAAAAATACTTCCAGAAGTACATTTTTCACAGGGAAACTTCAGGGATTTCTTTCTCTTCTATTCTCCTTTATAGCGAGGAGGCCTTTTCTCTTTAAAGGCAAGAAGACCTTCAAGTCTATCTTTTGTTGGAATAGTCTAAAAGAAAGGAAACACTGTGTTATTTACGCCAAAAGGTATAAAATATATTTCAGGCTCCAAGTTCAAGGATTCAGCCACGACAGATGCTGGGAATTCATGGACGCTAACTTCTTAAACAGTAGAATGTCCACACATGACTGGGACCACACATGACAGTTCAAAACCATGCTGCTCCAGGATCAAAGTCTGATGAAAAGTGTAACATTCCCATATACTCCTCCCACCCCAACCTTGTTGTTGTTTTTGGGTCACACCCAGGGATGCTTAGGAGTTACTCCTGTCTCTACACTGAAGAATTACTCCTGGCAGTGCTCAGGAGACCATAGGGGATGCTGGGGATTGAACCTGGCTTGGGCACACCTTATCCACTGAACTCTCCTATAGTTTCATCCCCATCTACCCTTTAAAATCCCCCATCCCCTTCCCCTCTATGATTACTCCTTGCATCACATGCGGTACCTCAGCTGCATGTCATGGGTCAGTATGTTGCTATTAACTAAGAGACACAGCTCACTCACACAAGGGCTCCCTACGTGGCAGCCCTCTAGGTTCTGACAGTTGCGGAGTGTCATGTAATCACCATTACAGTGTCACCGAGAATGATCTCACTATTTTCCCATCCTTTATGCTCCTGTTCTTCCTTCCCGTCTCTCCGACGTTTGAAATCATACAGGAGATATATGTTTTTAATTGAGGTAATACAGCTCACAACAGAATTAATATTTATGCTTTAGACACACAATGTTGACTGCATCACATTCACCACTGAAGTGCCAACATTCCTCCATCACTGCCTCTAGATCTCATCTTGTTTGGCTCATCTTTTTTTTTTTTTTTTTGAAGGGGTGGTGTGTGGGTCACATCCAGCATTGTGCAGGGGACCATGTGGTGCCAGGGATGGAATAAAGTCAATGACATGCACGATAAGCACTTTATCCTCTACACTCTCTGGCCCCCAGCACGTCCATCTTTATACCTGCACCACCTCTGGCACTCGGCAAACTCGTTCTGTTGACAGAGTCTTACGGTTTGTTTTCATTAGTCATTGTCTATTCCCTTGTTTAATTTCTTCCTATTCCACAAATCAGATCACCCAGTATCTGCTTTTCTCCTTCTATTTATTTTAACATAACTCAACCCTCGTTCCATCCACCCATGTTGTAGCAAAACGCAAGAGTTCAACTTTCCTTCTAGATGACTAGTACTTCATTATACATAAAACTGTATTATATGTATTCATATATGTATAAATATGTGTACAAATTGTGTATATAGACCACGATTTCTTTACCCATTCATTTCCTGTTTGGCACTTGGGCTAGTTCCAGATCTTAAATACCATAAATAGCGCTGTAGTGAACATAAGGCACACATATATTTTTAAGTGAGTGGTGTTGTGTTCTTGCCATAGATGCCAAAGAGTGGAATTATGGAATCCCATCCTAATTCTTCAGATTTTTGAGGTCTCTCCACACCATTTTTCATCAAGACTGGACGGTACGACAACTCCACCACCTCCGGGCCTGCCCCGGTTGCTTTCAACTTTTTTGACATAAGCCATTCTTACTGGTATGAAGCGTTAACTCACTTATTCTGACTTGCATCTCCCGAATTATCAGTGATAAACACTTTTTCACATGCCAACTGGCCCTCTAGATACACGGCTTCTTTGGAGAAGTGTCTATTCAGTTCTTTCCCCATTTTTGTTGTGTTTTTGGGTTGTTGCTGAGGTTTTGTGATTTGGTTTTAGGGACACACCTGGCTGTGTCACTCCTGGCTCTGAGCACAGGGATTACTCCTGGATTGCTTGGGGAACCATACAGGGTGCCAGGGACAGAATCTGGGTGAGCCATGTGCAAGGCAAGTACCATACCTGCCGTAATATGGCTCCAGCCTCTGTTGTGGTGTTTTATGAATGCTGTAATATATTTTGGAAATTAGCCTTTGCCAAATGCACAGAATGCAAGTATTTTCCCCCATTCTGGAGGGCAGTATATTTTACTCATACTTTCTTTCTTAGAGCAAATGTTTTTAGCATGGTAAATTGATGTTATTTATTTATGCTGCTACTTTCTTGGCCAATGGTATTATGTCAGTGAATATTCCTCTCCTATCAGTATCACAGAGATATAATCCCCAATGTATTTAACAAGAAGGTCTTAACCCTTCTGAATTAATTTCCATGGATGGTGTGAGGAAGTGATATAGCTAGCTTTACAAATCTTGCATTTTCCATTTCACAGTTAGATCTTGGACCCACTTTGAGTTCACTTGTACGAAGGATGCAGTTCTATGTCTAGATTTGATTGTGTGTGTATGTGTGTGGGGGGGAGGGGAGGCAGCTGAACACACAGGTGCTTCAGTATTACTTGTTTTCGAGAATATTTTTTCTTCTTTGCACTGCCTTTACTACTTGTCAAGTATCAGAAAACGATGTTTGTGTGGGTCTACTTTGAGGCGCCATGTTCTGTTCCATGAACAGATCTACCTGCATACTCCTCTGTCAGTACTACGCTGCCTCCATTACTGCACTGTGCTCAGGAACTGCCTTGGTCCTCTGACGTATTTCAGCATTCTTTTGGGGACTCTGGTTCTTTAAAGTTTCCATATAAACTTTAGCAGATGGGTTTTACCAACACAACAAGCAAAGTGCTAGCCATAGGGTAACATTGGTTTGCCCTTTTTGCCTTGCCACAGGGCGCTTAGGTTTACTGGGTTACTCCCATCCCAGTGCTCCCATTCCTCTGTGTTTATTTGTAACCTCTTTCTTTGTGCTCTGCTTTACCAACCGGTCAATCACCTTTCTCTCCTAATCAGACTCTGTTAACTTGTAAACATTGCTTTTCTCTTATCCTTAAGTCCATCCCATAGTTAATTCAGAACACTGTCTTTTTTTTATATAGAAACAGGAAGACAGTTAATACTATGCTTTTGTAACTTGGGAGCTAATTGACTCCAAATGATATGCACTTCTAAGCATCTGTTCTCTCAACTGAAGCCTCAGTTGCCCTTACTTCCTAACACCCCAAAAGCAGGGTCCCCATGAGGACCTAGATGGACCCAGGGCAAGCTGTGAGCTACCCCTGCAGCATCAAAATGGGCCAGGCCAAAGTGCCATAATACTTAATTATAAGTTAAGAGCAGGATCATGGACAAATTCTGTCAAGATCCAAAAAGCAACAACTAGATTAGGACCCTGCTAGGGTTAGGAGAGATTAATCTGGCCTGAGCACTGTAGTCTGGGATCTACAGTGAGATGTCCCCGGGAGAGCCACCCTATTAAGCTTAATGTATCTCTTACTGTGTCCATACAAAATAATATTAAGAAATAGAATTAAGATGTTAATTAAGTTATTGGACTAAGGAAAGGAGAAAAAGCCGGAGTGGCCGTTTTGCCCTTGGAGCCTGACCTGCTGGCTGCACACGATCAGAAAGGACTTTCATATGCTGATTGTGCTACTGACCTGGGTATGTGGCAGCGGGTTTAGTGGGGAGTTGGTGAGAGAACAGAGAGAGAGAGACCAAGGCGGCAAGTGGGAAAGTGGGGAGACTAGCAAGGGGACAGGAGGAGACAGGAATCGGGGGCTTGTGGGACTGGAACAGGTGCGTGGGAAGAATGGAATAAATGGCAAGTGATCACCAACCAGCCTGGCCCTCATTTCCTCTTCGTCCGCCCTTGGCATCAGCCATCCTGGGTGGGGAAGCGGCCCAAGACCACCAAATGTGGGGGGGAGGGAAGAGAAGGGAAGGGGGGCAGATAGAAAGAGAGAAAGAGAGGGAGGGGGGGGGAAGGGAGAGAGCGCGCCTCAGGGTTCCTAGTCACATCGTGATTACACAGCTGGCTTTTTTGAGATGTTATCAAATCTACGAACAAGTTGGGAAGAACTGACATCTTAATGATAATAAAAGTTCTGTCCGTGAACACCGTAGATAAAGTTTGGTCAGAACAGTTCGTGATTTCTCTCTCTGGCATACTTTGGATTTAACTGCTCTTTTTCTACTATCCTTCCCTAGAAGCTTATTACTGATGTTAGATTTTTGCCTCTTTTCTAATACTTACATTGAATGCTACCAAAATTCCTTTCTAAGAATGGATTTTGTATTTCCATATATATTTTGATATTGTATTTTCATTTTCAATTTCTCTTGAGATTTCTTTGGCACCTGTGTATTACATGGGATTTAACTCCCAAACTACTAGTAATTTTGCTAGTATGATTCAACTGTGGCAAGAAAGAATAGGCTGCATAATTTCTATTTTCTTACATTTCATTAAGGTTTACAGCCAAATGTGTGTTTAAAATTTTCTTTCAGACTCTGAGGTCATCACTGAATCCTTTAAAACAGGATGCTTGTCATTTACTTCATTCATGGCAGGTAGTCACTAATGAGAAGAGGGGATTAATCAGCAGAATTAGGCACTGAATAACACTCCACAGAGTTCCTAATTTAGGATACCGCCATCCATCTATGCGAGCTGATGTAGAGATCAACTCTCACAAAGATTAGAAAAATCACTTATATTTTAAAGATGCCTTTAAACAAAGTTGGATAAGGACGGAAGGAGGAGAAGGCAGGGAGGGAAGATACTTTGTTCCTCTACAGAAAGCTCTGCTGATGTGTGTACAGAAGGGACACTATAACTAAGCTAGTGAACTTTCAGTGGGCACAACATACCCGGGAAAGTCAGTGACTGTCAAATACTCAGGTTCTGCCAAAGACCGACTCATTTCCATCTTCCTAACTCATGTTTATATCAGTCTTGGGACTCAAGTTCAATGGGACTAAATTTATTTAAATGTAATTATGCAGACAAGAATAATTAGTCTATAGAACAGGACCTGTTATCAGAGTTGATAACAATCCAATGGGAAAAAATAAAATGCAATCCATTGGTATGATTTTAGAGTGGGAGGGAGAAAACTCTTGCTGAGTGATTGATTACACATATGAGTTCCACAGAGGTAGGCATGATTGCTAAGGCAGTATCTTCCCCACATCTGTGACAATCTTACATACCTGAGCATAACAAGCTTCTTCTATGGCTAACCCTGTCACCAAGTCAACCTGAGGATAAAAACATAATTCATTCAGCATAAATCACTTTTACAAACACAGTACGTGCAATAATACTTACTCTGAAGAGGACAGAGGGCTGGAGTGCATGCAATAAGGGAGAAGGCCACAGACTGGCCCCCAGCCTGGCATCGACCTCAATGTACTGCCAGGAGAGACCCCAACACACCCACACCCAGTCCATTTCCATGCTGGAGCAGACCATGTAAACTACTGGACTCACCCAACACACACACACACACACACACACGAAAATCAATTTGAACACCCCTAATTCCAAATAACCGAATTCTCAAAAATGTCACAAATTAAAACGGCCTCAGGAATCGAATTCTGACTCCATCAGGGGAGCTGTGTGACACTCATCATCTCTGTGCGTTAAAGTGTCACAGCTAAACAAGGGGGTCATGGCAGCACCTCTGAAAGAGTTAAGTGAGAAAGTGAAGCCTTTAAAAAGCATCTCTAATTTATACGACATGCACACAGGAAGGACCATACAAGATATTTGCTATCAGTACTGGTGCTCTTATGCTGAATTATAAAAAGAACCAATAAGCTACCTCTAAAATATTTAAAACTGCACTCACTACTAACTAATCAATCTTTAGACTGCTGGGAAGCCCAGGAAGAAATTGTGACCTATAAGCCTGCCCCCTCGCCCACCAAAAAAAAGTATCTCTCCTCAAAATTTCCATAATTTCACTAAATTGTGATAAATTCAACATATCTGGGCACCCGTACTGCTACTCTGCTCTGCCTACCTGTCCCAGGTAAAAGGTATCTGCTCTTTGGAGCCACCTGCCAGAGTCCCAAGATACCTGAACAGACTTGCTGGGATTCTGAGCGCTCTGGAGAAAGCAAATGGAGAATTTCAGGCAAGAGAGCCTGGCTGGGCTCCAAGCTGGCCAATTCTCTGTGGGCTGTTTTTTTTTTTTTTTAAAAAAAAAAGAGAGCCAACATCTCAGTGCTGGTGCTGAGAATATGCAGAATGCCTCCCTCTTTGGCTTTGCTATGAACTACTGTCCAGTTAGTCTGCCTACTGCACTGCACTGTCCTCCCATTGTTATCAATTGCTCGAGCGGGCACCTTACTGTGTTTGGCATATCGAATACGCCACAGTTAGCTTGCCAGGCTTTGCCTATTAACAGTAGAAAAAAATGACATGGATATCATAAATTGCAGAGCATAAATAAAATGATAAAATTCTGCAATTTCATTACTGAGCCAACTGCAACTATAAGCAGACTAACATTCACGTAGTTCGATGCCCCCTCAGCAACTTCCAACAATGTTCACACTGAAAAAGCTGTATTGCAGAGTATTAAAAAAAAGTGTCAAAGTCCAAACATGATTGTAATGATCTATTGCAACAAGCACTGGGAACTTACCTCCATCCCTTGATTAATTGCTAATTTTGCCACTCGCATTGCAACAGGTCCCTAGAATTCAAATTAAAGGCAGATTTCAGTTGTGACCCTTTGCAAATGATGTTCTAAATCTCAGTGAAATTCAGAAATTCCATTTCTGGTTCATGCCATAGCAGCAATAATGGTTGTGAGAGAGCTAAGGGAAATTTTATTTTAGGGGTCTTGCAGGCCTTTACTCAACGCCTGTAACGACTCTAACGCATTAGTAAGTGATTTTGATTTTGTAACACACTGCAGCACACAAATTCTAGATGCTAGGAGGTCAGCAGGTGGTATATGCCCAAGGCATGTGTGTGTCCGAGATATAGAGATAAGAAAAAGGGATAAAGGGTTTGGCACAATATACCCAGGGAAGCTTGGGCTGGAAAAAAAAGTAGGTGCTGCTGATTCCTATGGGGTTCGGACAGCTCCAGGTTCAAACACTGGCTCTGCGTCTCTCCTCTGTGGACATCAGTGAACAACCAGGCCCCGGCAGGTCATCAATGAGGCATCCTTCAGGCAATGCGCCTACTTCACCCGGCAGCTCTAGGCCATAGAATTCGTTAGGGTGTGTGAGGGGCAAAGAGAAAAGAACTGGGTGTTCTTGACCTAGCTTTAAGACATAAAACCCATGTCATAAAGTTTTAAGGGAAAGAAAGAAAACTGGAAGCCTGCCACAAGTGTGTGGGGGTGGAGGGCAGTTAAGACAGAGAAGGGAACAGTTAAGACCGTGATAGCTGGAAATGATCATTCTGGACAAGAGCTGAGTGTTGAAAGTAGGTAAAGGGATACACATCATGGCCTTTCAGTGCCTGTATTGCAAACTAGAATGCCCCAAAGAAAAGGCAGGGGCGGAGAGAGAAGAAAAGTACCTGTCGCAGGTGTGCGTATGTGTGTGTGTGTGTGTGTGGGGGGGGGGGGGGGAATGAGGGGAGGAGAAGGAGGGAAACTGGGGACACTGATGGTGGGAAATGTGCACTAGTGAAGGGACAGGTGTTGGAACACTGTATGACTGAAACCCAATCAAGAACAACCTTGTAACTGCGCATCTCACTATGATTCAATAAAAAAACTTAATCTATGACTTCGGATACCTTTAATCCTTCTCTAGAGGAGACAGCGAGCAAACCTCACTGGATTTACCTGAGGTAAGAATTCCTTGGCGAGGTCCAAGGCCTTCCTGTAGGCAGCATCCCCCTCCTGGTTCTGCTCCAGGACGTGGCTGACCAGGCCGACCGCCTTGGCCTCCTGTCCGTCAAGCACACGTGCCGAGAAGATGAGCTCTTTGGCCAGGGCCATCCCGATGGCGCGCGGCAGCCGCTGAGTGCCCCCTGCAGGTGGGCGAGAGAGCAGAGGGACGGTGCGATGACCTTGACAGGCAATGTCCCCGGGTTTCACAGCTAGCTAGACCCCGAAAATTCAGACACCGGCATGAGTCACTGGGAAGCTACTTGGAGACAATCTCATTTCTCAGTTTATGGAATCAATCACTTGGCTGTCTTGCTGCTGTGAAACAGCACCTACATTTTTTTAGCTGAATCCACAATCATAAATAAGACAGACAGTGCTGGGCAAGGGCCACTGTCCATCAGAAAATTCGCCAGAGAAATGACGATTGAAGGAAGCCTGGCATTTTTCTTTTAGCTTACACACAGTTTAAAACTGGAGAAATTCAACTCGGGCATTTTTGTTAAAATAAACTGTAAACGAATCTTAATGCAATTAACATGAATACAGCCAGGAAAACATTTTTGTCCTGGTAATATTTCTTATTTTTCTCCCCCCAGTAAAAATAGTAATGGGCCCCTGATATTCTACTCCGGCAGATCCATCTACCTGCTGAATGTTCTGGTGACAGGATGAAACTGAACTAAATAACAGAAACTGGAGCGAAGTAACACAGATTAAGCTTTAGTTTCTATGAACTAAAATACAAGAATAGCTGTAACGCTAGAAATTAATCTCAATGTTCTCTTTAAAATGGACAGAGGCTGCTCTGGGCACTGCTGGCCAGGAGACCGAACAGTGGCTGTCTGCCAAATCTCAGAAGGGAAAGCAAATTCATCGTTGGCTTGGGCCCAAATGTACGTACTTTCTCTTTCTGTCTTAGTCAACAGCATATAAAACCTGGCCGGGTGACTTATTAAACAAATCGCCTCATAACTGGAAACCAACTACAGGTAGACTTTTAGACGCAACACACTCATTTGCCAAAGACCCCATCAGCCTATATGATGAACTCTTCAGACAAAGAAGTCTTTCTTTCAAATAACTTTAAAAGGAAAAAAAAAAACTCTTGTCTCTATCAAAAGTGGGAAAACAACAGCAAAAAAATAGGATACAAGAAAGCCCATTTTCCTTTAGTGATAAAGTTCATTCCTACCAACAGTAAAAGTAACAAGTATGATCACATCCCGAGAACAAAGCTGAAGAACAAAAGAGGGAGGGGGTGGAAAAAAAAAAGAACAAAGGAGGGAAAAGAACCCGTGAAACAAAAACTGTAAGAGAATATTCAAAGAAAAAGAAGACAGAGAAGTAGAAAGGTATCCCATACTCATGGGCTGGATGAACTAATATCATCAGAAAGTCCAAGTATTGCCCACAACAGTCTAGATTCAATGCAAATCCTATCAAAGCCCCAAGGAAATTTTTCAAGGGAAAAAACCATACAATTCTAAAATGTGTATTTTAGAATATACATGACAGTGAATATATGTTTTGATTGTCTGAACTATGTGAACAGGAGTTCTTACTACCAAAAATGCCTGCAAGTACAGACAGATTGAAGAAAGAGATTTGAATAAATGCAACTGGGCCCTGGAAAGAAAATACACTGAGTAAATAAGGTAGAAGGGCTGGGTGGGCTAAGCTCCCCACTCAAGACCAATAACCAAAACACGAAATGCCTATGAGTAGCCCAAGTGATCCTGAGAGAAAAGGAAGAAACAGAAGTATGACCTGCCCTGAGTTCAAACCATAGGACGTGCAACAGTAATCAAAACCAGATGATACTGAAACAAAAACACAAGGAGGCCAATAGAAGGGCGGGGGGTGGGGGGGGGGGCGGCGGGTGGAGGGGGGGAGCCCAGAAACACACCCACACAATGAGGATGTCTAAGTTAGCACAAAGAAGTCAGGACATACAATGGAACAAGGAAAGTCTCCTCAACAAACGGAGCTGGAAACATTCAACATCTCTGTCAAAAAAGCAAAATGGAGTGCAGGTAAGTGTTGGATAAATAAATAAATAAATAAATTGGCCCTCCCGTTGATCGTCGATTTGCTCGAGCGGGCCCAGTAACGTCTCCATTGGAGACTTGTTGTTACTGTGTCTGGCATATCGAATACTCTCGGTAGCTTGCCGGGCTCTCCGAGAGGGGCGGAGGAATCGAACTCGGGTCGGCCATGTTGGCCGCGTGTAAGGCGAACGCCCTACACGCTGTGCTATCGCTCCCCAGGATATCCTTGGCCCTCCCGCAGGTCCACTGAGTTACTCCCACAACAGAGTCCCTGAGGCACACCCACTTCCATCAAGCACTAATAATCCTATATTGTTTTTCTCTTTTCTTGATGTCATTGGATGGTTTATTTAGTAATGTCCTTTTTGTATCGACGCAGGAAAACAGTTGATGCTGTGTTTTTGTAACACGGGAGTTAATTGACTCCAAATAGTATTTACTCCTCGGCATCCATATTTACTTGACGTAAGCCTCAGTCGCCCTTTATTCCTAGCACTCCAAAAGCAGGGTCCAGACCAAGAGACTGGATGGACCCAGGGCAAGCTGTAAGCTACCCTGGCATCAAAAGGAGACAAGCAAAGCACCCTAAGTATAAGGTAAGAGCAAGGTCATAGACCCAAAAAGAAGTAACTGAATAAGGACCCTGCTGGGGTTAGAAAGACTAACTTGGCCTGAGGACTGTGGTCTGGAATATATAGTGAGATGTCCCCAGGAAGAGCCAACCTTTAATTTAATAGATCTCTTACTGTGTTCATACAAAATGACTAGAGATATTATAAGAAGTAAATTTACTATGATTGTGTAAATGGATTACTAGCTAAGGAAAGGAGAAAGCATACACCCTGGATGGAATCCCGCCTTGAGCGGATCTCCTGGTAATCTAGAGAGCTGAGCCCTCACGTGAGATTTTTGTCCTCGAGCTGATTTTCTAAAGGAGTGGCTTTCCCTCTGTTCGTTGTTAGGACACTGTTCAACCCCACCTTTGTGTACCCCACCCTTCATGATTCCTATAAAACTATGCTGTAAGGTGTTAAGAGGGAACTAAAATGTTGAAGACTAGTAGGATGAGAACTGAGACTTTGAAGACTTTGGAACTTTGGGGATAGAAGGAGGCCTAGATGATGACGATGACTGGAAGTAGAGGACTATGATGCAGCGACGGCAAGATGAGGAAGAAAATGTAATGAGGATAAGGACTTTGGGGTCTGCGAGGAGACTAGGATGATGGAACTATGATGGCTGGGACTATGACCAAAACTACGATTATGATTGCATAGTAGGGGAGAGATTGGATTACACTGGGAGGAGAGAGAAATAAACTGTCTATGGATCAGCCTGAGGCCCAGTTCTGATCTCCATTCCCCGATCTTCACACATCCCATGTCCTTGCCAGGCCTGGGGAGTTGGCTCTCGGCCATCCGCTTGAGTCCCCGCAAGCCCATGCCTTTTTCTTTGAAATTCACATCTGGCATCCCTGTGCCTGGGCCTGAACCACCACCTGGTGGGCATCTAAAGGTAAGAACTGCATCGGTCAACCTCCACTTACAGAGGTGAGTGGGAGAACAAATTTTCAGGTTACTGAGACTTAAAAGTCCTAGCTGTATCCCCCCGTACCCCCAAAGGAGAGTGGAATAGTAGATTTTTCAGGGTGCTGGGAGTTAGATGGGGCAGACTCTGGGCCTCCCCGGGCTCTTCCAGTGCTCCTCAAGCCAGACTGAATGGGCCAAGCTATTTATGGATTTGATTCAGTATCTCTCCCACAGAACAGGGGACCCGGAATACTCTCCCACAGAACAGGGGACCCGGAAGACCACATTCCTGAGACCAACTCTCAGCCTGCTTTAAAGTAGTTTCTGAAATAAACCCAGGGTTCCTGGATGAAGGGACTCTAGAGACCAAGATTTGGAAAGAAGAAAAATGTCTACATGGGCTCTAAGGAAGGGACTAAGATTCGCATGGAATTCTGGGTTACAAGGGAGGCTGTTAATTTCATTCTCCTGTTTTGGAGAAGTATAGTAGAGGAGGAAAATATTAGGGATAAGACGCTCTCAGCTCCACCCATACCCAAGTCCCAAACGAGACTTACGTGTTTCCAGCAGAAACGCGTTCTCAAAGTAAAAATATTTCTGATGCTGGTGAATTAATGTTCCCTATTGAGATCCTCATCTCTTCCAAATAGCTCCACCTCCAGCGCATCAGATGAAAGTGATGCGGATGATGAGCCCACTGCCACTTTCTCAGATTCTGAGATTCCGAGAGTGGCTCGGTAGAGAAGGCTTCCCGCCTCTCACCCAAGCGGCCTCCAGACCGCTCGGGACGAGCTCCCAATTGCCCAGTCCAGCTAGAGGAGAAGCAGCCTCCATCTTATCAAGGGTTAAGAATGGATTCACTCAGCCATTTCAAAAAGGCCTGTACATCGTACCGACCGACATCTCTGTACTGTAAGGAGTATCTTATAAGATGTGTAACAGTGCCTATTAGGCACCCCAAGATTTTCCTCTGGTTGCTAAAACGTGCTTAAGCTCTTCTCAGTACATACAATGGAGGATGTGGTTCAGTGATGAGGCCAAGGCCAAACTTCATGACTTAGGTCATTCTGGACGAAAATTTTCAGGGATTAAATTGACTCATGAGATGTTAATAGGTGAAGGAACATGACACTGGTGGGTTGAAATTTCAATGTTTTGTGTTTTTCAAACAGGAAAGGGCTCGGAGATGCTGGGTAAGGGGAATGGTGTCCCGCGTGCCCATGCACCTTTTCTTGGAAACTCACGAATGAGAACTGAGAGAATCCTCTGAAATCAGGGATGTGAGACTGTCATTCTCGGGCAAATGTCAGGGGCCTGAGGTCACTGTCACTGAAGACCAAGGGACTGACAGAGGCAGGTAGGAGCTGGAGCTATTGATGGCAAAGCCCCAGAGACTCAGATAGGAGTTTCAGAACAAGCTGCCAAAGCTTTCAGCATCTGCCCTGTTTCAGCATCCCAACGCGCACTGCCCCCACTGAGGAATCCTGTGTAAGTGCAGCTGGGGGGGAAGACCCTTCCCATACGATTGTGGGGAAGACGGGGTCACAGCATTCTGCTGCTGTC